CTGGGCTCGGCCCCTCCACCGCCCAGCGGGAGAGGCGGGCGGCGGCGAGTCCCCTCCCCCCGCTCCCCCAACCCCGGTTTTACAGATGGGGAAACTGAGGTCCTTAGAGGGTAACGAACTCACCCCAAACCCAGTGGAAGGCCTGGACTGGCTGGTCCCGGCCAGCAGGCAAAGAGGGGGCTCTCTCTCCTCCCCGCTTTCCTGTCCACCTGTCTTCCTTTCTTTTCGAAGATCTAGTTATGCATCCTGCCCGCGCTCACCGTGCGCCAGGCCCCGGCACGGCACTGGGGACGGGGTGAATCAGGCAAGGCTCGGCCCTGCAGGGGAAACGGGGATGAACGCAGACCCTCGGGGGACAGATGCTGAATGGGGGGTAGTGGGTTCAGGTTGCCATGGGGACACAGGGCAGGAGGTAACCCCGGCTTCTGGGAGGGGGTGCATGAGGCCCCCCTCCTGCAGGAGGAGTGGAGGTTAATGAGGTGAAGGGAGAGAAGAGGGGGCAGCTGCTCAAACGGGTAGCTCAGGAAAAGTGCAGTTACTGCCAAGGCCTGCGGAGGGTCCCCGGAAGCAGAGGATGCAGGGTGACCCACCTGACCCTGACCCAGGCCTGGAGGACCCAGTGCAAGACAGATCCTGGAAAGGCTGGGATGGTGATGGTTTTATTCTTTCCCCCTTTCTAACATCTGTCAAGTGACTCACTTAAAGTATTTTCATACACTCCACCCTTGTTCCCCCTACCCAGAATCTTGGGCTAAGACATCAATCTCTTACATAAATGAATGTTATTTTTCCAGCAGTAATCTGAATATCCCTGTGGCTTCAGGTCTAGAAAAGTATGTGTGATTCTTTAAGTGAACCCTGATATCAGAACCTGCTCGGTCTCTGCACGGTTGCTGGTCGTGTCCTCGCTGGCAGAAGAGGTTTCCCCAGGGCCGCATGATTCACCTCCTCTCCCTGAGCCTCAGTGTCCTTTTCTGCAAAAAGGAGCTTTGAGGTTGGCAGGTGTGAGCAGGGCCACCAGCAGCAGACCAGTGGGGGTGTGACCTTGGTGCTGGGAGCCTGGGAAGGGCGTGGGCGGCTTCCCTCACTGCCACACCTGGGCAGGGCTCCTTAACAGATAGGGGTGCTGCTGGTGAAGGCCAGGAGAGTGGTTCTAGGATACAGTAGTGAACAACACAAAGTCCCTCTCGTGAGCTTTCGTGGGGCTGACGGACAATAGGTAAATATATGGTGTGTCAGGGATCATAAATGGTATGAAGGAAAATAAAGTGGTAGGGAAATAAGGTGCTAGGAGGAGTGAATGCTGTTTTATATGGTGTGGCCCAGGAGTGTCTTTCTGACAGAGGGTGGCAGTTGGGCAGACTCCTGACAAACGCAAGAGAAACCTTGAGAAAGAGTG